CATGCCGTATTTTTCTGGGCGTCGCATCACATGTCCGAAATATTCTAATTTTCATTTTTTAATTGTTTTGATGATTTCCCTTGGCTTTCCCAGGCGGCTTATCACCTCCTCATTTCTGATCTTGTCAACCCAGCTTCTACGTAACAGCCACCTATAAATCCACATTTCAAATGCTTCTAGTCTCTTCAGGTGGCCTTCTGCATGACCCACACGGTCATGCAATCAAAATTTGGGCTCTTAGTAACCGGCATGTATTTATGATGGTTGCAATGTCCCGAGTGTCATGTGATCACAAATTGTGACCTTACCCCTGAACTTCCAACAAGCAAACTCAATGGGGAAGCCAGCAGGGAAGATCATAAGCCACGAACATGTGATATCTCACTTAACAACCACAGTAAAGTAGGTGAAAATTTGGGTGCAGTCACTCAATGCCTCTCTTAACAACTACAATGCTTAACGATGAATTTTCCAATCCCAACTGTGGCCGTAAGTTGAGGACTGCCACGTTAATAGAACAACAGAGAGAGAAGTCATCCCATCAGCAGCAAAGGTAACCATTCCGATGCCCCCCCCCCCAAAGCTCACCCTGTGATTAAAACCCATTATCCAGTTTCTGCACGCAGGCAGAATGAATTGTGGTTTAATAATTTCACTGCTGCACTTTGAGCTTCTCCCATTTCGGAATAAACGCTTTGGGATCAGGGTGTCCTTCTTTCTAACTCACAGGAAAACCGGCATTAAGTCAATGTCATTTTGCACATTGCATGTGTCGTAGAAGGTTTTTATCTTTTTTATGTAGCAGCGTTGATCTCATCTTTAAATTATTTTCCAGGGGAAATGAGCCTTTTGTCCTACCTGAAGCAAATCTGGAAAACTGCAAAGCTGCTTTCTGTTGGCTTAGTTCCTCTGCTTCATCAAGCCACAGTTTGCTTTAATCACGGGTTAGAGAAGCCAGCATTACTGAGTTTACATAAAACAGTAAACTATAATCCACCCTCTACATGTCACAGTGGCTGGATTCCCATAACACACTAACCCTGAATGAATCCAACCCCATTTTTACTGACCACAATGTGTGAATCTACCTGGCTAGATTTTAGATGAGAGCATTTCTAATCTTACCCCTGTGCATTGCAGCCATATAGAAAGATGAGCAAAAGAAAATATGAATATTTGATGTTTGGACTGACGGCAGTACCTCTTAACCTTCTGGGCATGGATCTGGTTTGCACTATAATAAAAATCTTTTAGGACAATTTCTTCGGTCTTTAGATTTGTAGCAGAGGAGAGAAAAAGTGCTCCTGAATTTTGTAAAAGCAAGAATGATTTCAGGATGCAGTTGAGAGCAAAGAATCCAATTAGGAATCTTTTATGTCTTGGGGTTCGTGGCATTGAAGCGTCACACACACACTCACGTTGTAACCAAGTTCTTCTTTATTTGATCCACGTTACCACTCAGTAACCAATAGGCTCGCAGGCCTGTTATAGTTTCCCAAACAGCCTATCATAAATCTCCTTTGTTCGCGCCTTGCGCCTGCGCGCAAGGCCGGTGCCAACCAGTCTGGTCCTAGGCAGCTTTTGGTTTGCCCGGGACCATTTGCAACATTTCTGGGCCTGCTAAACTGCCTCATCCGGCCCAGGACACAACAGAATCATTAACCTTTTCCAGAGCTATTGTTCTGCTCAAAATTTAAGCCATAGGACTCGTGGATGATACAGTTAGAAGAGTGCAGCGACAAAGCTCACAAATCTATTTTTTTTTTACCTTGAACTTTCCAAAGAACAGGATAAGCTCTTTTCACTCTGCAAATTACACCTGAGCATGCAAACTGTCCTCTAAGGATGACTTTCCAGATAACATAATTCCAAATTGTGGCAAAACAGAAGGGCTTCTAATGCAGTAATTTGATGAGTTCAAACTGGTACATCTCTGCAATTAAGTGGTGATTGTCCCCTTGATCTGGTTAAACCTAAAGGAGAACGAACGTCCTGGCCTTGTATCCATTCCCACCTTGTTGTTTTGTCCTAATGTCAAAACTGAAGATCATATCTTGAGCATTGTAGAGTTGCTTTGCTTTGTTAGATGGGCCACAATATTTATTCTCTGGGGGGGAGGAATAAACTTGATAAGCAATCAGACCAGGGCAATCCCAAGAGAAAGTGCATGAAACGTTAATCCAGGATTCTTTGCTGCAAGCTAACCTCCCTAATTGTGGTAATGATGAAAACAAAGTTTAAAAAGATTTTTGGGAGGCTCCAGTGATTAGCCAAACACATCCCCCATGCTGAGAAGCTAAAGAATACTCTTGGATTTCAATTGCTGGGAAGAAACAAAAAAGACAATATAAAGTTAATGCTTTACAAAAGAAAGGGAAAGTTTTAACCTATTAGATGGCATATTATACTATTAAACAGATGTTTGAATATGGTTAAGAAAATGGATAACTGTTAGAAATAAAAGTATTATTATAATTAGAAGGATAGGATTTGTAACTAGAATATTATACTTCATTATGAGATAGGAAATATGAAATATGAAAATTCTAAAAGATTAAGGGAAGCTTTTGGTTACCCAAATATAATTTATTATGAGAAAATTATAAGCAATAGAGAGATTTTGAACCTTGATGGGAAATTAAAAATTTTAAAAAGTGGGAAAAACAGGATATGGATTGAATTTTAAGTGCAAATGCAATTGAGATATGTTCTGGCTAGAAATTATAAACTGACACTATCGATATTATGTATAATACCAGAAAAATGTGATGAAGATGTCTATATTTAATTGTATATGTATTCACAGTAACAAGAATTATATTTGCCCAGTGTGGAAAAATGCACACCACCGGAAGACGAGAGGATCAAGGAAACACTGGATGGTGTAGTATTGAGAAAGTTAATACGTATCACTGAATTACCAATGGATATGTTGTTTATTAAGTACTCACGATTGTAAAATTAGAAAATTAATAAAATATTTATAAAAAGAAAAAAGAAAGGGAAAGTAAAGTTCCTATTGCTTCTCTGTTAAGATCCCAGTATTTCTGACGCTCCGTCTTAGGGCCTTTGACTGTGGAATACACTGCGGAAAAACAGGTAATCTTCAAATTATAACCTTCCATTTAATGACCATTTGACAAGCAAAGTCAACGGGGGAAGCCAGGCTTGTTTCAATGCTGCATGATTCATTAAACAACTGTGGCTGAAAAGGCTGTAAAATTAGGCTTGATTCAAGAGGGAGTCAAGAGATTAGATTAGATTTGATTAGATAAACTTTATTGTCATTTGTTTTCGTACTGTGGGCACAACGGCACACATTAAAAATGAAATTTAGTTGTTGTCTCTCAAAGTGTACACATACATAACACACATTTAAACATGCTATATACAACATATGTATAGACCTACAGCCATATGTAACATATAAATATTAATCACTGTCCATCTTGAATACATAACGGAAGGAGAAAGCTTTAGAGCTCATAAGGTTAATATTATATGGAACAAAATGGTGATTGAATCTGGATGTTCTGCTTCGGATACCATGGAACCAGTAGTGGGATTCAACCAGTTCGCATCACTTCGGCAGAACCAGTAGCTAATTTTTGGTTGCCCAGGCCCAGAATGGATTTCCGGAAGTGGCATCCACAGAGAGAACCAGTTGTTCACCTATCTGAATCTCACTACTGCACAAAGCTCTTTCCTCCCAGAAGGTAACAAAGAAAACAGGTTGTGAAGAGGATCTGTAATGTCCTAGACCAGTGGTTCTCCACCTGTGGGTTGGGACCCCATTTGGGGTCGAACGACCATTTCACGGGGGTCGCCAAACAACGCAGTCCGCCATTTTTTTCCCCCTTTTCCTTAGCTGTGCTACTCCCTCTTATTCTATTGGCTTTTGAAAGCCAATAGAATAGACTCTCTTGAATAGAGTCTAATTCTATTGGCTTTCAAAAGCCAATAGGAATTGTCCAGGCTGTCTCTGCCCTGCGGAGCCCGCCAAAAGTCCCATTCTGCAAATGGTGCTGCACCAATTGAGTAATCCTCGACTTACGACCGGTTGAGTAGTCCTCGACTTATGACCGGTTGGGGGTCGTGGCATTAAAAAGGTTGAGAACCACTGTCCTAGACAATACTGCGGAACCTGCTCAAGCAACGCTTCTGTGCTATGTCCTGGGTGGAAGGGAGGGAAACTGCCAATCATCTTTTCTGCCATCCTTGCCACTCTCTGCACCGCCTTCCTATCTGAAGCAGGGATGTTTTTAAACCAGACTGTGATGCTGTATGACTGTTCTCCAAAGCACCAGAAGGCAGGACAAGAAGCAACGGATGGAAATTAACCAAGGAGAGAAGCAACCTAGAAATAAGAAGAAACTTCGTGACAGTGAGAACAAATAACTAGTGGAACACCCTGCCTCCAGAAGTGGTGAATGCTCCAACACTGGAAGTTTTTAAGAAAAGACTGGACAGCCATTTGTCTGAAATGGTGTAGGGTTCCTGCCTGAGCAGGGGGATGGACTAGATGACCTCCAAGTCCCTCCAAACCTTTTATTATTATTATTATTATTATTATTATTATTATTATTATTATTATTATTATTGATCATTGCACAGTCAGCCAGATGTTCAGACTGGATTTGGCATTTTTGTCTACCTATCAATTCCTTCCCAAGGACCTGGGATAGGCAGATATGGATGTTTGATGGTATTACAGATATCGTCGAAGGATGGAAGCAGTTCCTAGTAAGGCCGCCTTTTGCAATTGACTAATGGCGAATTTGTCAATGCCGACGGTGTTCAAGCGGTGCTCCAGTTGTTTTGGGATTGCACCCAAGGCACCTATTACTATTGGTACTACCCTTGCTTCCCTTTGCCACAGTCTTTCTATTTCTATTTGTAGGTCTTTATTTAGTATTATTATCATTATTATCATTATTATCATTATTATTATTATTATATTACACCTTGCTTGTCCAACGTATCCAAAGTCGTCCGCAGCGCAAGGCAAAGAAGACCGGCACACGCTGACATCCACCAAGCTCTTTATTAAGCATGTGAGACAAAGTCAGCACTGGGGCCGATTTCCCTCCACCGCAATATATCGGCGTGCTCCACCCTGCAGCTCCGCCCCCCATCCCAAACCAGCATCCGTTCGAGATGGATAAATGCTACGCCCGTTCCCTGTGCTGTCCCTTTGCCCGACGAAGCTCCGCCCCCACGCCCCGCTGTCCGTGCGTCCGACCTGCGCCCCTGTTGCCCGCCGCCAATCTCGCCCTGCCGGATATCCTGGTGGCTAGGAGACAACCCCCCGCTCTCCCGCCGAGGTACATTCCCATTAGCCCGCAAGTGGCTCTTAGGAGCTCCCGCTGTTCCATCAGGTGGCGTTGGCGTCTGTCGTGCTTCTCGTGGAGACGTCCGCCCAGAGGGAGTTCGCCCGGTGCGGCGGTGGGGCGTGGCGGTGCACGGCTCAGCTGTTTCTCGCCCCGGTGAGTTGACGTTCGTGCTCCCCCTGTCCCTGTCCTTATGGCAAGCCGTCGGGGCTTGACATGCGGCCCCCTGTACCACGCGTCCCCCTGGGGAGGAAAGGAAAGGGGTTGAGTACACAACGTTACACTTGTTCCGCCCCAGCTTATCCGGGTGCTTCCGATGGAACGTCCGAATCAGGTTGGGTGCCTTTATGTCCCCCTCTCCCACCCAGGTCGCATCTGATAACGGGTAGCCCTTCCACCGAAGGAGGTATTGGGTTTTACCATATCGCTTCCGTGAGTCTAGGACCTCCTGCACCTCGTAATGGGACCCGGATATCGGTCCTGGTGCCCCGTCAGCATAGGGACTTCTATGTGTTGGTTTGAGTAGACTACTATGGAACACGGGGTGAACCTTGCCTAGAGAGGCGGGTAGCCGTAGCTGAACTGTAACTGGGTTAACCACTTTGAGGATCTGGAAAGGCCCTACATATTTCGGGCCTAGCTTCTTACATGGCACCTGCAGACGTAGATATTTGGTGGCTAAATACACCCAGTCTCCCACTTTGAACGGTTTATGCTCGGCCCGTTTTTTGTCGGCTTGGACTTTGGCAGCAGCTTCGGCCTTCCTTCGGGCTACCCGCACCCGGTCCCACAACCCTGAAATTTTGGACTGCCATGTTTGAGGGGTCTGGCCGCTGGCCACCTCTGGTGACAATTCGGGCATGGGGTTAAACTCCATACCATACACTATTTTAAACGGGGTATACCCCGTACTGCTGTGGACGGTATTATTATATGCCACTTCAGCAAACGGCAATAAATCCACCCAATCCGTTTGCTGGAATGACACATAACTTCGGAGGTACCTTTCCACCATAGCGTTTGCCCTTTCCGCCGCCCCGTTGGTGCTCGGGTGATATGCTGAACTCAACGCCTGTGAGGACCCTAGCGAACGAACGAACATCCTCCAGAATTTCGCAGTGAATTGCACCCCTCTATCTGACACTATTCTCCTAGGTACACCGTGAAGCCGATAGATGTGTTGAACAAACAACCGAGACAATCGTCGCGCTGATGGCAAGCCTCTGCAGGGGATGAAATGTGCCTGCTTGGAAAAGAGATCTATCACGGTCCATATCACACTGTAGCCCCGATGGCCGGGTAGTTCTACGATAAAATCCATGGCGATCTCTTCCCACGGCCGGGATGGATCGGCCACCGGTTGTAATAACCCCATGGGCCTCCCTACTCGGGGCTTCGCGCTAGCGCACACATGGCACCCTTTTACATATTGTTCCACATCCGTTTTCTGTTTGGGCCACCAGAATTGCCGCCGCACTAGGTGCAGGGTCTTTAAAAACCCAAAGTGGCCCGCTTGTTTAGCGTCGTGACACCTTCGAAGAACGGAGGGGCGTAGGCTCTCGGGCACGTATATCCTCTCCCCTTTCCATGCCACACCGTCTCGAGTAGTCAACCATTCAGAATGCTCATTCGCCCACGTATCAGACAGTAAGGCAGCCCTACTGGCCTCTAACCCGCTTACCTGGGACCTGTGGGTTACGGTCTCAGCGGTCTCACGCCGATAAGGCGGCACCAGGGCCTGTATCACCTCCTCCCGTTTGCTACGGTACTGCGGCATCCGCGATAATGCGTCGGCCAAAAAGTTCTTTCCCCCCGGCACATACCTCAGTGTGAAGTTAAACCGGTTGAAGTATTGTGCCCATCGAACATGTTTGGGGGCCAGGCGTCTCGGGGTTTGTAGCGCCTCCAAGTTTTTATGGTCTGTCCACACCTCAAAGGGCAGTTTGGCCCCTTCCAACAAATGCCGCCACGTTGCCAGGGCCCAGCGTATCGCGAAGGCCTCCTTTTCCCAGACAGTCCAGCTACGTTCGGCCGTCGTGAATTTACGCGACGTATAGGCACATGGCTGCAGCGCTCCCCCACTATCCTTCTGCAACAGCACTGCCCCCACCGCTACATCGCTAGCGTCCACCTGGACCACAAAAGGGGCACTCTGGTCCGGGTGGCGTAACACGGGCTCCTTAGCAAATAACGTTTTCAGTGACTCAAACGCTTTTTGACAACTCACAGACCACTCTAGCCGTTGGCTCGGGCGGGGCCTCGCTGTGAGGTGTTTCGTCCGCAGTAGTTCCGGAAGAGGATGCACCACGGTTGCAAATGATGGAATGAACGGACGGTAAAAATTCGCGAATCCGAGAAAACTTTGCAGTTGGCGTCTAGTCTGGGGCACTTGCCATTCCTGTACGGCTCGCACCTTGCCCGGATCCATTTCCACCCCGCTCCCCGAGATGCGGTAGCCCAGGTAATCTAGTCGTTCCCGGTGAAATTCGCACTTCGATAATTTCACATAAAGCTGGGCCTCCAGCAACTTCTGCAAGACTTGCCGTACTAGGCTGACATGCTCCTCCCGTGTTTCGGTATATATTAGAATGTCATCTAGGTACACGAGTACCCCGCGGTATAGGTGCTCATGCAACACCTGATTGATTAACTGCATGAATACCGCGGGGGCCCCTCGTAACCCGAACGGCATGACGCGAAACTGGAAACTGCCCAACGGACAGTTAAACGCCGTTTTCCATTCGTCGCCAGCCTTAATTCGTACTCTATAGTACGCCTCCCGTAGATCTAATTTGGTCAATATGCGGCCCGTCCCCAAATGCGCCAATAGATCCTTCATTAGGGGCAGGGGGTATACATGCTCAACACATACTGCGTTCAACCCCCGGAAGTCGACACATAAGCGTAATGAACCATCCTTCTTTTCTTTGAAGAGGACGGGAGCCGCTATCCGGGACCTAGCAGGCTGAATAAACCCTCGCGCTAGGTTCTGGTCGATGTATCTACGGAGTTCCTGCACCTCCGGTGGTGTCATCGCGTACATCCGGGGTTTCGGGAGCTTAACCCCCGGCAATAGCTCTATGGCGCAATCCGTCGGTCGGTGAGGGGGCAGGTGATTACACTCCTCCTCGCTGAAGACCGCCGCTAAATCCCTGTATTCCTCGGGATATGTTACCTCTCTCTCCATTTCCTGGAGTTGCGCCGCTACCCCCGGGTACTTGGGAACCTGGCCCTCGTCACCACCGATCCCTGGTGTTGGTCCTACCCCGAGACGCACTTTACGGTACCCCCCTTCCCACCATATGGTTGGGGTCCATTTGTCTAACCAGGACAACCCCAAGATGACCGTCTTCGTCATAATGGGCACCACAATGAATCGTAATACCTCCCAATGGTCTCCTAGGTCCATGCGTACCCGTTCCATCACATGGGTCGCGGGGACCCCCCCCAACAATGACCCGTCCACTTGCTCGAACCGTATGGGTTGTGATAATGGATATATCCGGAACCCACTGTCCACCGCTACCTTCCTACTCATCAGACATCGTGTACATCCGGTGTCGATCAAGGCCTGACACGCCTTCTGTACACCCGTCACCGGACTCGTAAGGACTATAGGGAGGAGGAATGGGTTAATGGGATCACTCACCATTGGATCGGCCATTCCCTCGTCAGGGCTGTCCTCCTCGTCCCCCGGCTGGTAGCGTACCCCGGCTATGGGCATTGGCGTAGTCGGGGATCCTGGCTTCACCCCTGGAGTCGGCTGCTGGCCAACCGCCCTTGAACTCTCCGTGGCCTTCTTCAGTGGTGTGGCTCTACCAACTGCTGCGGCCTTACGGGGGCTGGGTGCTGGACAGTCGGCTGCGCGGTGACCCGGCTGGTCACAACGAAAGCACCGGAAACCGGCTGCTCCTGACGGTCCTGGTGGCTTTGGTGTTGGCCGCTGTTGGTCCTGGCTGCCCTCGCGAGGCCTATCCCCGGGACGCCGCAGCCGCGAAACATCCCCGTACCCTCGATATACCTCTTTCAGGCCTGCTTCAAGTTCGATCACTACCCTGAACCAGTCTCTCAGTCTGTTGGGCACACCCCGATATACGCAGGCTTGCCGTAGGTCGTGGTCTAGGCCTGCTCTGAATTGATGTACCAACATCCGCTCCGGCCAAGAAGACTGCAACCGGCCGGCTAATTTCCGAAACTCCCGCACGTACTCAATGGCCGGGCGTTTCCCCTGTTGGAGCGCCAGCAGGTCTGCCTCGGCCCTCTGTGCCCGAGTGGGGTCATCAAACCGCCCATGTAGAGCGTCCAAAAACAGCCCCGCACTCCCCAACTCCCGGGCATGGTCACTGTATAAGTCGGCCGCCCACGCGGCCGCCTCCCCGCGCAAGGCGGCAGTAATGGCGCCGACCATAGCCCATTGGGAGACATATAGCTGTGCAAACTGGTCCAGGTGGCTTATGGCCTGTCCCAGGAACATCGCCAATTGATCGGGGTTACCATCAAAGGTAACCGGAATAGGGGGAACCCCCCATAGAGATCCTGGCCCCCACGGCCCCTGGGGCTGGCCTGGTACCACGTTTGGATGTCCGGCCGCGAAGCTCTGCCGTTCCCTCCCCCCTGTTGCAGTCAGGCCTCCTGCCACGTTCCTGGCCCCGCCCGGCTGGGCTGGGCGTGGCTGACCCGGCAGCCCGCTCGAAGGGAGTCCCATAACGGCCGGCCCACCTGCGGGATTAGGCAACCGCAGCCGCGGACTGCTCAGGCGGAACCTAGACGAGGGGGTGCGACCCGTAGCCTCCCCTTCCGATTGCCACATATCGGCGGCGCCCTTGTAACTTGCTTCACCAAACCGATGGCGCAAGATATCCATGGTTTCCTGGCCCGGAGCCGTGGAGTAGCTCCAGTCTTCATCGTCCTCCATCGTGGCGCGTCTCTCCCTCCACCCCGAATGCCCGAGCTTCGGCTTTGGTGTTAGGAGCTGCTCGGGCTGTAGTCCAGTCACCGCCGGGCTTTGCCACCACTCCTCCTGTGGCTTAGCGGCTCCTGTCTCCCCCACATCGAGCTCCGATATTGCAGACTGTAACAGTTTCGGCCGTACTACCGGCTGGGCCACTACCGGCTCCGCCGCCGGGATAGCATCCACAACCCCGCCGGCCGCCACCTCCCCCTCGACCAGGGCGGCCCCCTGAGTCCCCTCCGCCATACCGTAGCCGTACACGGGAACCGTAGACTGGAGGGTTGGAGATGAGTGCTGACTTTATGTCCAACGTATCCAAAGTCGTCCGCAGCGCAAGGCAAAGAAGACCGGCACACGCTGACATCCACCAAGCTCTTTATTAAGCATGTGAGACAAAGTCAGCACTGGGGCCGATTTCCCTCCACCGCAATATATCGGCGTGCTCCACCCTGCAGCTCCGCCCCCCATCCCAAACCAGCATCCGTTCGAGATGGATAAATGCTACGCCCGTTCCCTGTGCTGTCCCTTTGCCCGACGAAGCTCCGCCCCCACGCCCCGCTGTCCGTGCGTCCAACCTGCGCCCCTGTTGCCCGCCGCCAATCTCACCCTGCCGGATTCCCTGGTGGCTAAGAGACAACCCCCCGCTCTCCCGCCGAGGTACATTCCCATTAGCCCGCAAGTGGCTCTTAGGAGCTCCCGCTGTTCCATCAGGTGGCGTTGGCGTCTGTCGTGCTTCTCGTGGAGACGTCCGCCCAGAGGGAGTTCGCCCGGTGCGGCGGTGGGGCGTGGCGGTGCACGGCTCAGCTGTTTCTCGCCCCGGTGAGTTGACGTTCGTGCTCCCCCTGTCCCTGTCCTTATGGCAAGCCGTCGGGGCTTGACATTGCTTAGCAACTGAAATTCTGGCCCTGATTGTGGTGTAACTTGAGAACTATGTACACTACCTTGGGTCTAAATAATTTCCCCAGAGCCACCTTGAGAATTCCTGCTGATTTTGAAGAGGAAGAGCACTCTTACTTATTTCCACTTGAATTCTCCCTTATGCATAAACTAAGGCAGGGGTCCCCAACCGCCGGTCCATGGTCCGGCACCGGTCCACAGCATGATAGAAACCGGGCCACACAAACAAACAAATGAAGGCCCATCTGCAGGATGCAGGCACCATGCGAAACCACGCTCCATCCTGTCCACGGAAAAACCTCTCTCTATGGAACCGGTCCCTGCTCCCGAAAGGTTGGAGATCTCTTAACTAAGGTGCTTCAGGATTATTTGTTTAAAAAATAAATAAATACGTATTCATGCTAGGCATTCAAGGCCCACGTCTGCCAAGCTGGGATCCAAAATCTTAACCACTAGAGTGCACTGTTTCTTAACTCTTAAGAAGCAAAAGGAGAGAGGCAGTTTAATGTTATGGCTAAGAGATCAGGGTGTGAAGCTGAGAAACCTTGTGTTCTACTCCCACATTAGGCATGGATCCATCTGGGTGACCTTGGACAGGTTCCTTCCTCTCCGCTCTAGCACGGCTGCAGCAGCAAACCACTTCTGAAAAACCTTACCAAAACAACTTTGTTGTTGTTAGTTGCGAAGTTATGACCGACCCATCGCGATCCCCATGGACAATGTTCCTCCAGGCCTTCCTGTCCTCTACCATCTTCTGGAGTCCATTTAAACTCACGCCTACTGCTTCAGGGACTCCATCCAGCCACCTCATTCTCTATCATCCCATTCTTCTATTGCCCTCAATCTTTCCCAGCATTAGGCTCTTCTCCAGTGAATCCTTCCTTCTTATTAGGTGGCCAAAGTACTTGAGTTTCAACTTCAGGATCTGGCCTTCTAAAGAGCAGTCAGGGTTGATCTCCTCTAGGACTGACTGGTTTGATCACCTTGCAGTCCAGGGGACTCGCAGGAGTCTTCTCCAGCACCATAGTTCAAAGGCCTCCATTCTTTGGCGCTCAGCCTTTCTTATGGTCCAACTTTCACAGCCCTACATTGCAACTGGGAAGACCATGGCCTTGACTATGCGTACTTTTGTTGGCAGGTGATGTCTCTGCTTTTTAGTATGCTGTCTAGATTTGCCATAGCTTTCCTCCCCAGGAGCAAGCGTCTTTTAATTTCTTGGCTGCAGTCCCCATCTGTGGTGATCTTGGAGCCCAGAAAAATAAAATCTGTAACTACCTCCATTTCTTCCCCATCTATTTGCCAGGAATTGAGAGGGCCGGATGCCATGATTTTGGTTTTCTTAATGTTGAGTTTCAAGCCAACTTTTGCACTCTCCTTCTTCGGGGATATAATAATAATAATGATGATGATGATGATGATGATGGCTGGGGAATTGTGGGAGTTGAAGTCCACAAGTCTTAACGCTGCTAAAGTTTGGATGCCCTTGTTTTAGAGGCTTTATTCATTTGGTTCGGCCAGAAAAAACGAACCACTCGTGTTATGGGTGCAACATTGGGACCAATTTTACAAATCCTTCCTCCTCCTCCTCTTCCTCCTCCTCCTCCTCCTCTTCTTTGGCAGTCCACACTTTCCATCCAGACCCTCAAATTCTGTGATCTGACCCCATTTCAGAACCTGGATACCTTGACACAAGTCTCACATATGGTAGTTGTGTAACAAAGGTCCAAACATACACCTATATACATATATAAAATAAGTACAGTATCTTATCTAGTTTGTTTAGGTTTTTTTGACGTATCACTTTTGGTCTGCCAGGATGCAATTCCCCAAATTTATCTTGGCCTTGAGAAATGGGATTTTGGAAAAAGGAGGGGCAACCCAAACCATTTGAGGAGCTTCGGGATGGTGATGGGGTGCACATCAGCTCTCATGAGCCCTAACTCAGGAGGCTGAGGATTATGGAAGCAGAAGTCCCCAAAGATTTAATGCTGACTTGAATGGATCTTAAATCAGCCTTGCGATAACATCTTACCCGTGCTAGAAGTAAGCAGCCTCCCCTGGTGGTTTTTTGGTGGAATTGCAGGTAGGGTATCTCCAGCTTTCAGACTGTATTTGAAATGCATTGGCATTATTTTATTTTTTTTAACAGTCTTAGCTGTCTTTATTTCCTTCTTTAGCTCAGTATACAGAGAGCCACAATGGAACCAGACTTTTTATTGTTAAGCAAGGTGATTAAAAAAACCCTGCCCAATTTTATGGGTTTTTTTTTTTTGGCCAGTTGCTAAGCGAAACAATGCAATCCTTAAGGTGTCCCAAAGGTGCTTTTTCAGGAGACAACTGGACTTCAATGACTCTCTGAAACAGAGGTCCCCAACCTTTTGGGCACCAGGGACCGGTTATGTGACAAGAGGTTTTTTCTGCGGACCAGAGGGGGTGTGGTTTTGTGTGCTGCCTGCACCCCGCGGATGGGGCTTTGCTTGTTTGTGCAGTCTGGCTGTTGGCATGCCGCGGCCTAGTACCGGTCCACAGAACAGGGATTGGGGACCCCTGCTCTAAAAGAATGTAAATGGCCAGCTGTCTGCCAGGAATACCACAATCCAGTCAGAGCTGAAGAAGCTTCTTGAATGAGAAGTGAAATGTCTGCCAAAGAAAAACAAGAAAGTCCAGTTGCCTCCTGAAAAAACACCTGGATGACTGAGAATCTCCAGATACAGTCCTTAACGTGAATTTGGCTTCCCCCATTGACTTGGCTTGTTGGAAGCCAGCTGGGCAGGTTGCAAATGGTGATCAGATGACCCTGGGATACTGCTGCAACTATCAAAAATATGTGTCAGTTGCTAACTCACCTGAAGGAGGATTGGACAACTGTGGAAATGCTTTAATGGTCATAATTAAGAGGTCTGGTCACATAAGTTGCTTTTTCCAGGGCCTTTTTAACTATGGACAGTCACTAAAGCAATAGTTGTAACTCAAGGACCACTTGTATATCTACTTAATGAAAGAGCTAAAACTTTCTCCCTTTTTTAAAGCAGTGTTTCTCAACCTTGACAATTTTAAGGCATGTGGACTTCAACTCCCAGAATTCCACAGCCAGCAATGCTGGCTGTGGAATTCTGGGAGTTGAAGTCCACATGCCTTAAAATTGTCAAGGTTGAGAAACACAGTTTTAAAGCAATATTTTTTGTTTACATCTACACTAGAAGCAGAAATCCAATACAACAATACAGCTTTTTCCAAGGCGGAACCAGATAAAGGTGTTTTTTTTTTTTTTTTAAAGCAGCCACCTCTTTGCTAAATGTACAGATAGTCCAAGCCTTACGACAATTGAGACCCAAATTTATGGCGCTAAGCAAAAAGACAGGTGAGCTTTAAAATCGTTCTTGCCACAGTTGTTAAGTGAATTGTTGCATTTGTTAAGTTAGTAACAACGGTTGTTAAGTGAATCTGGCTTCCCCATTGACTTGGCTTGTCAGAAGTTCGCAAAAGGGGATCACATGACTCCGGGACACTGCGACCGTCATAAATATGAGTCAGTTGCCAGGCACCTGAATTTTGATCACGTGACCATGAGGATGCAATAATGGTCATGAGTGTGAAAAATGGCCATAACTCACTGTTCTGAGTCCCATGGGATTCAAACGGTCACTAAATGAACAGTTGTAAGCCGAGGACCGCTTGTAATCTTATCTCCGACTTTCAGCACCAAAATGTGGTTGAAAAGGGAGCTTCCTTTTCATTTCAGCGGTTTGCCTAAATCAGGGGTAGGCAACCTTGGCTCTTTTATGACTGGTGGACTTCAACTCCCAGAATTCCTGAGCCAGCATGAGGAACTATGGCCCTCTCTCAACACTGGTGGACTTCAACTCCCAGAATTCCTGAGCCAGCGTGGGGGAACTATGGCCCCCTCATGACTGGTGGACTTCAACTCCCAGAATTCCTGAGCCAGCATGGCTCAGCTTGGAAACCTCTCCCTTCCCCTCAGCATGGCTGGCTCAGGAATTCTGGGAGTTGAAGTCCACAAGTCATAAAAGAGCCAAGGTGGCCGACCCCTGGCCTAAATTGACTCCACAAAACTGGCAGTCCAATCCATTGTTTATTATTCATCCTTTCTTGTTTTTAATATTTCATTTAAAAAGTTTTATAGAAAAAGCATTTTTTAAAAAAGCAAAAAAAAAATACATTGTATCAATGGTGCATAAAAACAAGCTGCAGGTATAATATATATTATTTACACAATTTCATTGCTTCTATAAATTAAAAAAAATGTCCCTGATTGTTATTTACAAGACATATATTAATTATCATTAATAATACTTTGCCCATCAACAAGTCCTTCCAGAGAAGCTACAAATATTTAAAATAATAATAATAACAATAAGTAATCTGTTCCCATTCATCCCTCTTTATAACAGCATCCCTTGAGGTAGGTTAAGTATTATTTCTGCAGCCTTGTATATAACTTGCTCACTCTTTGCAATGACAGAAATTGCTTTCGGGTATAAAAATTATTTTCAAAATATCAGCTCTCCCCCCCCCTTTAGTTTCAAGCCCTTAAGTTGCAAACATAATATCTGGAAATGTAGAAATAAAGAGTTCAAAAGCCAAAGGCATGGATAGCTGAGCAATATATAACAAGAGTTCACAATACAATCTTTTTAGTCTCATCATTAACAGAAACTGGATTAGCTAGGGATTCTCAAATTCGACAGTACCAGGAACCCAAAAATGGATAAATTAATTTCTGCAAGCCACTATAAATAAAACAAATGATTTTATTGGGGGTTAGAATGGATTGTAAAAATCATTACTAATCTTTTTTTCCCCCTCTTTTTCCAAAGAGTCTGGTCCAATTCTCCGAGACTGCCAGAGAAATCTCTGCAGCTTTTTTTTTGGCAGTGGCTTTGCCAATGCCTCTTTCCTAGGGCTGAGAGAAAGTGCCTGGCTCAAGGTCATCCAGCTGGTGTTCATCACCACTTCACCCAAACTGCCTCTCAAAATTATTCATCATGGTTTTCGAATTGTAATCTCAACTTTTGCTGGCCCATTGCTTGCTGAATGTTCCACAGACAAAGAGGAGACAGGCGTCAATGTATCAGAACTCAACTTTGTTTGAGCAAAGTCCATCAAGCTAAAACAAACTAACAAACAAAAAAAAACCCCACAGATTTTGACCCTCCCTACAAAAGAAGGTTGTCTATCCTACCCCCCAGGTTCCTGATCTGCAGTTTTGAGAATCCCTGATTCAACAACTGGAAGGGGGCAACATATGAAACAAACATCAACAGTGAATCCCCTTGCCTGCTGATAACAGCAAATAGTTGGTTATGCTTTTTCAAATCACAGGACACACCCACGTAATTGAGTCACGATTAGCCAGGTTTTGCAGAAGCCGTAAAATACCTTAAGCAAAGTTGGCTGGGCACAGAAGCTTGTTGACCTGGTTTTTCTTTCCCCTCTTGTTTTTTCAGTTTCCACAACCAAACCTTTTCCCATCCTCGTTCCCGCCGCATTCTGCTCTAACTCTTAGATCCCACTCCCCTGCTGAGTGCAACATAGAAGAAACCCAGGTCTCCAGTTTTATCCCTACTATGCTGAAGTGCTAAATAATATACAATGCTAATGCTACACTTGTTTGGCACCATAGAAACAAGGCAGTGCCACCCCTCCCCCCACACTCTTTTGGCTTGGGGGGGGGTCTGAAGGTGAAGAGGGTAACTCTTGGTGATTCCCCACCTGAGGAGAATAGCCAAGAGTTAGCAACCACCTGAAAGAGAATAAAACAATTGTTTTCTTCCCACGTCCCAATGTCAGTGTAAACAAGGCCATATTCTAGGCAGGATTTGAGATGTCGAGGGACCAAGATGTCCACCCAACACGTCTTCATGCTTTGGAGGCCCGCTTGGTAAGGCGTTTCACGAGATTTGGGTTGGGTTTTCTGGGCACAGGTGATTTTGAGGGAACGTCAACATAGTAGAACGCTAATGGCTGGTAGGTTGGAATGTAGCTGACCACATTTTGAGGGCACGGGACCCACAGAGGAGCTGGAACGTAGAAATACTGGGTAGGCTGGAAGGAGAGAGAGAGAGAGAGAGGAAGTTAAGAGGAGGAGAATGCAAGACCCTGAAGCTAGATCTGGAAACTCACAACCCATCAGATCTCCTCACAAAGAAGCAAGTGGGCCCTGCCCAGCACACTGAGACAACCTGAATCAAATCAAGCCTAGCATTATAATTAAGATAACATGCTTCAAGGTGAGGAGTTCAGCTCCCAGCGTTTCTGTGGAAGTGCCATCAACTCCCACCAAAACTTGTTTCTTCCAGTTCAGTGTAAAAGCTCTGGAATTTCCCAGTCATTTATTATCAAAATACTAGCTAGCTAGGTAAACATGGGGTAAGCCAAAGTCAAATCCACGTTCCTGCTAAACCAGTGGTCCCTAAACTTGGCAACTTTAAGACCTGTAGACTTCAACACCCAGGATTCCCCAACTAACATGTCCACAAAAGTCTTAAAGTTACCAAGCGTGGAGACTCTTGAACTAAAACAATATTCCCCTTTTAATCTCAATTTGGAGCATGGCTTCATTTATTTATTTTATGAGTAAATTTTATAGTAACTGTTGTAGAGATTTGTTTATATGGCTTAATTTAAGGGGAGTTAAAGGTTAAGTATGATGTTTTTTTTTTTTGCAGGCCCGTGATCTTGACAACTGTCCAGAATGCTTTCCCCAGGTTTTCCCCAAGATTGCCTACATGCCAACTTTGAGGCACAAATCCAGTCACCTCCCTCCGACTCAGTTCTCTCCAAGGAATTTGCATTTTATCAACAAGAGGTTGTAACAGCAGCATGAGGTGGACTTTGCTTTTTAGCTGGATTACAACCAAACTGCCCTGAGCTCCTTTGAACATTCAACCAAGGGTGGAGAAAATGTCTTGTTACTGGGAGATAAAAAAAGACTTTCAAGGCCTCCCATTTTTAGATTGCAGAAGCAAATCAAAGGAGCCACTTTTTAACACAACAACAAACTCCCACCTCCCTGCATTGTCCTTGAGGTCTCTCACCTGTTTGGGACTGTTTTTCCCAGCCGGCCGAGTTTTGCCCAGATTTGTTGTCTTAGAAAACTTGGCCAGACTTTCATCCTCTGAATTCTCGGAGGGGGATTCTGAGTGATAATCCGACGTCTCCGGCTCTGGAGTTGATTTCCCGCTGGTGTTCTCCTCTTCCTTCACCGTGAAGTACTGGTTATTCTCACCAAGCCTGGAGGAGCAGAACCAATGAAAAAGTTCAGCCTATTGTCCTATTATCAACAGGCTTAAATTCAGCAGGTGCTCAGATTTGGGGATGGGCTGGTTGACTTGTGAAGGAAGAAATCCTAGCCAGCCACCTCTTTTCTGAGGCCTCCAGGAGGGGAACACAAGGGCCTGCCGCAAAGAAGAGGGGGGTCAAAGCTATTCTGCAAAGCACCTGAAGGCAGGACAAGAAGCAACGGATGGAAACTCATCAAGGAAAGAAGCAACCTAGAACTAACGAGAAACTTCCTGACAATGAGAACAATTAACCAGGGGAACAGCTTGCCTCCAGAAGTTGTGGATGCTCCAACACTGGAGGCTCTTAAGAAGAAACTGGACAGCCACTTGTCTGGAATGGTATAGGGCAGGGGCAGGCAACCTTGGCTCTTTTATGACTGATGGACTTCAACTCCCAGAATTCCTGAGCCAGCATGGCTCAGCTTGGAAACCTCTCCCTTTCCCCTCAGCGTGGCTGGCTCAGGAATTCTGGGAGTTGAGGTCCACGACTCAGAAAGCGGCCTAGGCCTAGGCCAGAGGTAGGCAACCTTGCCTCTTTTATGACTCATGGACTTCAACTCCCAGAATTCCTGAGCCAGCCATACTAAGGGGAAAGGGAGAGGTTTCCATGCTGAGCCATGCTGGCTCAGGAATTCTGGGAGTTGAAGTCCACGAGTCATAAAAGAGCCAAGGTTGACTACCCCTGGGTTAAGCAGTTAAAAGCGACCCCAAGGAAATGCATACATTTCAGCATGGCTGTACAATTCCAGCATGGCTCAGCATGGAAATCTCTCCCTTTCCCCTCAGTGTGGCTGGCTCAGGAATTCTGGGAGTTGAAGTCCCCCAGTCATAAAAGAGCCAAGGTTACCTACCCCTGGTATAGGGTCTCCTGCTTAAGGCAGGACAAGAAGCAACGGATGGAAAATCATCAAGGAGAGAAGCAACCTGGAACTAAGGAGAAATTTCCAGACAGAACAATCAGTGAAATGGCTTGCCTTCAGAAATTGTGGGTACTCCATCACTGGAGATTGTCAAGAGATGAAAAAGAGTTAAAATGACCAATGGTCATTTGTCTGAAATGGTAGAGGGTTTCCTGCTTATGCAGGGGGCTGGACTAGAAGACCTCCAAGGTCCCTTCCAACTCTGCTATTCTGTTCGTTTGGCTATCATTGAAATGACAGGATGCAGCCCAACATGCTGACCTGCAGCAGACTTCCCCAGGATCAATCCAGATGGAAATTTCCCTGGGCAACGCTAATTCTGAATAATCCAGACCGCAGGCCGTGCACGCCTTTAGGAGGGAATCATCAATGTGGTGCTTCCTATTGATCCGGATGCATCTGGGAAGAAGGAAAGCAAAGAACAATTAACCAGTGGAACAACCTGCCTCCAGAAGTTGTGAATGCTCCAACACTGGAAGTTTTTTAAGAAGGGATAGGACAACCATTTGTCTGAAATGGTAATAAGGCAGGGGTCTGCAACCTTGACAACTTTAAGACTTGTGGATTGCAGCTCCCAAGTCCACAAGTCTTAAAGTTGTCAAAGTTGCAGACCCCTGGTATAGGGTTTCCTGCCTGAGCAGGGGATTGGACTAGAAGATCTCAAAGGTCCCTTCCAATCCTGTTGTTGTTGTTGTTGTTGTTCAAAAAAGGTTTTGTTTCAAGGTGGATTTGCGACAGAACCGTAGATTGAAAGGAAAGAACCTATCACAAAACAATTTGATTTTTAAAAACATTCTTTACATTGTTCATTTTTATTCAGTTGTTTTTTGTTTTTTTTTAAGAATTCACCCTTCCAGAAGAGAATGGCGCCAATAAAGCCACAATCATACCACAGGTGCCATGACACCACTGTGCAAATTTGTGTAATCCTGATGCAGATGGTGTCAAATGCCCATGCTAAGCGTCTGTGGAGATGCTCAGTCATCCAGTCATGCTTGTCCCAAAGATGGATTTTTTTCAGTATTATTGTAACTTTGAACAATCACTAAACAAACAGTTGTAAATCAACGGCTATCTGTAGGAACAGGTGCTTCCCCCCCCCTAATTTTTCATCCCCCTGCTGGACATTTGGTCATCACCATGTAAAAAAGATGTTGAGACTCTAGAAAGAGTGCAGAGAAGAGCAACAATGATGATTAGGCTAAAACATATAAGGAACGGTTGCTGGAATTGGGTATGTCTAGTTTAAGGAAGAAAAGGATGAGGGGGGACATGATAGCAGTGTTCCAATATCTCAGGGGCTGCCACAAAGAAGAGGGACTCAAGCTATTCTCCAAAGGGCCTGAAGGCAGGACAAGAAGCACCGGATGGAAAGTAATCAAGGAGAGAAACAACCTAGAACTAAGGAGGAATTTCCTGACAGTGAGAACAATTAACCAGTGGAACAACCTGCCTCCAGAAGCAGTGAATGCTGCAATACTGGAAATTTTTAAAAAGAGACTGGACAGCCATTTGTCTGAAAGGGTATAGGGTTTCCTGTCTGAGCAGGGGATTGGACTAGATGACCTCCAAGGTCCCTTCCAACAACTAGTGCTACTACTGCTACTACTACTAATTATTGTTGTTGTTGTTGTTACTGTTATCATGGCGTATCTGGCTGTCCACTTTTGTTCTTGTTGAGCCGTGAACTTTTGCTGCCTTTTAAGACTTGCTCCTAAAGTGTGTAGCTGGGATTTCAAAATAAGGGTCACGTCAATGAAGAGAGGAGGTGCTGATTCACACTGTTCATTTTGGAATCAAAACACTGCAACCCCCCCCCCCCATTGCTTGGAAGCTCAAGGGCGGCACTGACACCACAAAATCATGTGGATGAAAGCCGAGCCTATCTACTCTGTGCAACACTCTGCTGCAACAAGTTCCAGGCGGGGCACAGCAAACACAAATTGTGGTGTGACCTGCGTGCTAATAATCGTCCGAGTAGTCAAACTAGTATGCAAACTATGCCTATCAGTTACA